TAAGCCAAGTAAAAATTCGCTTTGTAAAGCAAACATGATCTACTGCTTTGACAAGCGACCACAATGGAGTCTTATTTCAGAAAAAAAAAAAGTTGATTGCCTATAAAAACAGTGATTTGAGTCAGTTTTGAGTGGCTAACAGCAAATTCAGTCTTAATAAATGTTATGAACCCAAAAAGAGCTCATACACCATAGAATGTGGTTAAGTTCACTGTTAGCGTCATCTGTTCATTCACATTTTTGCTAAGAAAACAGATTCAGCTAACATCTATCTTCTTTTTAGTTCTTTTCACATCCATTTTTTTTTTAAATATATAAAACAGAACAAAAATACAGGCTTGTGCCATTTAATAAAACAGACCTGAACAGAAGCAGCCGAAAAACAAATATAAAGAAATGATGCCCATTTACATCAGTTTGCCCATTGGAATGCATTGCTGGTCTGTTGTTCAGACAACAGACCAAAAGGGAAAAAAAAAAAAAAAAAAAACTCAGAGAGAACTGCCATGTGAAAGGGGCCTTAAGCATTATACAGATACAAAAAATAAAAAATAAAAAAAAAGTATTTGTAAGAAATTCTGGGGATAGCATTTTCTGTCTTAAAAAGGTTAGTGGTCTCTTGGTTCTAGTCACTAACCTGACCAAGTATGTTCCAATATAGTCAGAACTCCTGATCTGCATACTGTTCAGAGAAAAGTTTCCCTGAAAAGCGATTGAATCCACTGGATTAGCATGCCAGCCAGGCAACCAGCATTGTCATGAGCTCAGCAAAGTCTACATGCACATTGTTTTAATGCAGGTTTTCTTTAATATGGTCATTGTCCCTCAGAAGGAAAAAAAGGGAAAAAAAAAAAAAAAAAAAAACTTCACTTAAAGTGAATGTTTCCAATGCTTAAATAATAGGGTGAAGTCATTTTTAATGAGTGAGAACTCCATAAACCCAGGTTCCCCTTCCTATCATTCACACTGCCAAGTAAACAGCTTTTAAACCTTTAGAAAATTAGCCCAAAAACCTTGGGTCCTTCCTTAACCACCCACCTGTATTACACTGTGGCTGGGCGGTTGCTGTAGGCAAAGTGACATACCCATACATCGCTGCCTACTTCCAGGTTTCCAGCACATTCATGTGTGCCCCCTGGCTGGCACCCACTGTGATTTTACAGAGCAGGAGGCTGTCAGCACGTCCCAGCCAATAATTCACAGACCTGCTGATCGGCTGTGTATAGCAGGTAAAGTTCTGTGTTGACAATTACAGAGCTCTATACAGTGAGAACAATCTCTCGGTTTCTCACCCCTGCAAAAGATGAGAAAGTTAAAGATCCATTAGTAAAAGCAGCACACATTACACAAAATTAAGCACACATTCAACCCTTTGATCACCCTAGATGTTAACCCCATCCCCTCCCAGCCAGTGTCATTAGTACAGTGACAGTGTAGAATATTAATGTCATTGGCAATGTCAGTTCCTCCCAGCATCAGTTATTGTCAGACTGCCTGCTACACTATCTATCCAGTCAGTTAGTCATATCCGACCCTTGGCGATTGCACGGACCGTCACTTGTAAGGGACTTTTTCCATGAATTCTCTTAGCAATTATTTTACAGGGTAGGTTGCCAGGCCTTTCCCCAACCCCTACCATGCAGGAGATCCCGCATGGCCAGGGATGAAACTAGGACAATTTTAGACAGGAGCCAATTAACCTACCAGCATGTCTTTGGAGTGTGGGAGGAAACCGATGTACCCGGAAGAAACCCACGAGAACACAGGGAGAACATGCAAACTCCATGCAGGAGGCACCATAGTTGGGAATCGAACCCATGACCCAATTACTGCAAGGCAGAAATGCTAACCACTAAGCCATTGTGCCACCCGCCACACTATCACAGTCCCATTATAAAATTGCTGATTACCAGCATTAGTATATATTTAAAAAAAAAAAAAACCTATCCAACTAACACACCATAACGCACTATAACTTTCACACAAACCAGTCAATATACATTTATTGGGATTTTTTTTCTTTTGCAAAGAAACGTAGCATAAATACATTTTGGCAAAAATTTAAAGTAGTTTTTTTATTGGATGTTTTACAGCTGAAAATTATTGAATAGTTTTTTTTTTTTTTCCAAAATGATCAGTTTTTTTTTTTTATACTGCAAAACTGCAAAAAAATACAAACCCCCCATTGGTGATCAAATACCACCAAAAGAAAGCTCTATTGGTGTGAAAAAAAAAATAATATGATATAAAATGTGGGTACAGCTTTGCCTGATTGTGCAATTACCAGTTAAAACTAGTGTGGTGCCAAATAGGAAAACATGGCCTGGTCATGAAGGGGGTAAAATCTTCTGGTGCCCAAGTGATTTAAAAAAAAAAATAATAAATAAAATAAATTACCGTTGAGCCCAGTACAGTAGCAATTAACTCAAATTGTCATATGCAGCATTGATCAAGTATCTACTGCTACATGACTGCATAAAAAAAAAAAAAAAATCCTTTAATAAATTAATCCCATGGCGTGCAATAATTTGGTGCCTGGGAAAGCTCAACAGCCAACAATTGAACTACAGTAACAGTGACACCTGCAGGCTGTAAGTATCACACTAACATGCAGTAGTCAAAGACTAGACTCAATTTGAGATTCAAAAGATGTCCAATTCTACCAAAATATAGTAAACTGGTTTAGGTTATATTTTTTTAATATCCTAAAACTGTTCCAGTGCACAAGTAGGCTTTCACTTTATTTCCCCTTTTTAATTTCAGGTCAACTTAGGTTAATAGCACTTAAAACTCCACATATGTGAAGCTTACTGAAAAGTACTGTAGTTAGGAGAGTAAATGTAAACAGATTTGGTATAGTACAGTACATAACAATGTTCCATGAAATAATTGCTTGCTATATATGGAAATATATAATATAAATAAGTGCTTCCTATATTTGGAACATATTTCTCAACCCCCCCCCCCTCAAAAAGAAAAAAAAATTGAATCCTTACTAAAGCCAACATTTTGTTTTTGCACATTATACTTTTTTTTTACCTACTTAGTTTTTCTAGAATTAAATTAAAACGCAACCAAAAGATACCTAAATGTAGGCTTTATTTAGTGAACTGTACACAAGATAAAGTGAGGCTTAGAAACATATAAATACATATATATCTTCATACAAAAAGTTACACTTATTTACAAAAAATATATAAACAATGTCTTCATTTGCAGATAGTTGTCATGCGCGTAAAAAAATCAAGTTATAAAATAGTCTCTTAATGTCATACATAGTATTTGACTTTCAAAATACACATTATGCAGCAACTGTTGCAACTCCCTGGATATTTAGAATAATGAAAAAAAAAAAAAAAAAAAAAAAAAAAAAAAAAAAAAAACTAAATTCAGTAAAAAAATAGAAAATAAAGTGGGGCGGGATTTAGGATTTCTTATGTACCGGACATTGTGGCACTGAGGTGAAACATTTCACATATGAAATAAAATGCTAACAGTAATTTAATAATCAATTTAAATATTGCCACCACAGAAATGTATTCTGCAAGTGACAGCAGCAAATATTAAATGTGTAATACTACTAGAGAAGATCAAATGAAATGTAAACATGACAAATAGAGGACTTTTTGTCACCTTTCACATGTAGTCTGCTGGGGTGACCCCTCTGTTGAATCATAAAATAAAGAAAAAAAAAAGGGGGGAAAAAATAAAACCTTGCTGTGCTAGTGCTATATAGAACATTAAAAAGGCATAATGTATTTTAAAAGAATTAAAATAAGCTGTATAGAGCCCGTTTTAACATTCCAGTAAAATCCTAATATTAAGGCTATTACCCACACAAATATGGGTGGCAGATTTAAAGGAATCTCAGAGGCAATTTGGCATTTGTCTACAGAGGAAATGCTTTAACCCCATTTGCAGCTGGAGAAGATAGCAAAGCCTTGCAAAAGGAATGTGTTGCTGGCCCCAAGTCTAAACTCTTTTAACCATTTCTCACCTACCCAGCCAGAACGCTGCATCTCGTATTATAAAACACATTTACAAAGTGAGAAGAGTTAAAATTGGAGGAAAAAAAAAAAAAAGCAAATGCATATGATATGAAATAAAATATACACATCATAAGACTGAAAAATATAATTTGGTATGACTGAAAAAAAAAAAAAAAAAAATGTAACTTTAGTGTCTGTATGAAGATTTAAAGCTGTGTGAATAGGTTGTTGACATAGCAGTGGGAGACGGTAACACCAAAAGGCATTATTTGCCCAGCTGCTGGGTAGGTGAAGCCCACTCTGAAGAACTTTAATTAACTGCCTGCAGGGTGCTTAAAGGACCAAACCTATTTACCAACCACAAGACTAGATCTGTTAGGTAAACACAAAAATCAAATGCCCGGCAGCTGAGTAAATGACAAATGCAAGAATGTCAGGTCTGTTCCTCCACTTTATGCTGTATACAACCCTAGTAAGTGGACCCCTTTGGCCATCAGAAATGGATTAACCACAAACAAAATTGAGTTTCGACACACCGTGGTTCTCCGGGTGCTGTGGAACTACAAACCCATCATCTGAAGCTCAGGGTATGCTACGACTTGTAGTTCCACAACACTGGAGAACCACTCACTGCTTAAGCACAGTACTGAAGACAAGACGCCATCCCTAGAGGTCTCCAATTTCCTTTAAAAAAAATAAAAAGTAGATTATCTGGAATACCGGGGTAAAGAGCCAGACTGCAATAAAGAATCTCATGAACAGGATTTAAAAAAAAAAAAAAAAAAAAAAAAAAAGTCTGCATGAGGACCCTCAATATGATCACGCTGTCCACATAAAATCAATCACAGTGCTTCCTTTCAAAGCCTGGATCTATTCCTGTAGAATGATTTCTGTGGGAAGCTCCGCATTGAGTCAAGAAGTTTGTCAAGGCAAGATCCACAGTTACTGAGTACCATTAATATAGGCAAGTCCCTTTAACTCCATTCCAGGGAGCAGAAAAGTTCTCAGTGCTCATACAGCAGTCTCTCCTTTGCTGTTGTTGCTTAGTCTGTGGTAGAATTTGCGCCAGGACTGCAGGGTCTTGCCTGACCAGATCCAGAAGCTGGAGGTGATGCCCACGATCATGGTCATCAGATACTTGATCATAAAAACAGTAAAGTCTGGGCTCATAGGAGCAAAGTGATGGTTTGGGCAAGGGATGGCAAAGCTTTTGCAGGTCTGCATGAGCCAGGTCTTCTCCCATGTGTCCCTGAAGGCCTGCTCATAGAAGTAGCAGGCTAACACGATGGTGGCTGGCACCGTGTAAAGGACACTGAACACCCCAATGCGGACCATCAGCTTCTCCAGCTTCTCAGTTTTGGTGCCATCGTGTTTCATGATAGTGCGGATGCGGAAGAGAAGAGAGACAAAACCAGCCAACAGGAAAGAGGTGCCAATGAACAGGTAGACGAAGAGGGGCGCCAGCACGAAGCCACGCAAGGAATCCACACTATTGATGCCCACGTAGCACACCCCACTCAGTATGTCGCCATCCACTCGGCCCATGGCCAGGATAGTGATGGTCTTGACAGCTGGGACAGCCCAGGCGGCCAAGTGGAAATACTGGGAGTTGGCCTCAATAGCTTCGTGGCCCCATTTCATGCCAGCTGCCAGGAACCAGGTGAGGGACAGGATGACCCACCAGATGGAGCTGGCCATGCCAAAGAAGTAGAGGATCATGAAGAGGATGGTGCAGCCCTCCTTTTTAGTGCCCTGGGCCACCGTACGGTAGGTATCGTCCGAGAAGCGTTCTAGGCAAACAGCACGTTCCTCCAGGAGGAATCCGGCGGCGTATGCCACAGCCACCATGAAGTAACATCCAGACAGGAAGATGATGGGTCGTTCAGGGTAGCTGAAACGCCTCATGTCCACCAGGTAGGTGAGCACAGTGAAGAGGGTGGAGATGGCACACAAGATGGCCCAGATGCCCACCCAGAGCCGGGCAAAGCGGACCTCCTCCTCCTCTTGAAGTACATGAGTCCATTGGCTTTGCTGGGCTCACAGGGGGCCCCACAGTCCTTCTCCCCCAGGAAGCGGTAGCCCAGGTAGGGGGGCACTTTGAGCTGACGGGGGCAGGTGAAGTCCCGGGCGGAGTGGGGGTGGAAGGTGATGAGCTCAGGTAGGTAGTGGGTTGGGTTGGCGGTAGGTCCGGCCGGGGTGTCTGAGGTGTTTTGGCCCAACACAGATCTCACCGGCCCCGTGTACCGGGAAGTTCTCACAGCGAAGCCGCTCCGGCCATTGGAAGCCGAACTTGTTCATCAGGGCCTCGCAGCCTTGGCGGGCCCGTTCACACAGAGAGCGGCACGGCGGGATGGCCTGCTCCAGCACCGTGCACACCGGGGCATACATGGAGCACAGGAAGAAGCGCAGCTCGGCCGAGCACTGCACCTTCACCAGCGGGTAGAACTGGTGCACCTCCAGCCCGGCGTCCTCCTGGTTGGTGTGACCGAGCAGGTTGGGCATGATGGTCTGGTTGTAGGCGATGTCGGTGCACAGTGGGATGGAGATGGGCTGGCAGAAGCCGTGGTCCGGGACGGAGATCCCCTTCTCTCCGTGGTAGGGCTGAGCGGCCGAACCCAGGACACTCAGCAGCAGCACGATCCATAGGCGCCCCGCTCTCCCCATTCTCGGCAGCAACAAGTGGGGTGCACTGCGCTTCTCCGGGCAGCAGGAGGCGCTGGCTAATCCGGGGCTGCCACACACTTGGTAGCGGTACGAGCTGGCCGCGGGCTCCCAGTATGAGTCCACAGTGTCTCGGCCTGTCTGTACACCAGCCTAGCCGCTCTCTCCCCCACACTTTCACTTTATCCACTCCACGAGCCCAGCGCCGCTCTCCTTATAAGAGGGCGTAACTTTGGAACAAGGAAAAGGGGGAGGGGTCTCCGCCCAAGCTTCCCTCTCTCCACGCCCACCATTCCAATCCGGCCGCGAGACCCCCCATTCACAAACCCGTGGCTGAGCGGGGAGGGCGAGGACTCCGGGGCAGTGAGTCGTCCAATCAGCGCCTTTGTTTTTCTACACAGCCCCCGTTCTGATTGGCCGGTCCGGGGTGGAGGGATGAGGGAATGGAGCAGGGTGGGATGCTGGAAGATGAACAAAGCGAAGGGCGCCTGGAGGGGGGGAGGGCGAGGTGGTGTTTGTAGTGAAACTCGCATTGAAAGTCTGTGAGGGGAATGGAGAGAAGTTTTGTTCTGTCCTTACAAAACAAAGTTAGGAGAGTTTCCCACCAACTTGTGTCATGGTGAAGGGGGGATCACCCGTGTGCTGCCACATTCACAGAAGGAAAGGCTGTGCCTGTTGTCCATAGAGGAGCAGGGTGTGTGAGAGGGACAGGCAGTGTGAGGGACAGCCAGTGCCATTCATATATCCTCTCCACACACAGTACAGCAAGTATCCATATGGGAGCCATCAAATGTTCTGCACAGAGGAGCAGTTCAATGTGCCTCAGACTGGGGCCAATCAGAGTACAACATGGCCCCGGCCAGTGGGAGAAGAATAGTGCCCCGCAATGGTGGTCAGTGGGAGGAATAGTGCCCCGCGATGGGGGTCAGTGGGAGGAATAGTGCCCTGCGATGGGGGTCAGTGGGAGGAATAGTACCCCGCGATGGGGGTCAGTGGGAGGAATAGTGCCCCGCGATGGGGGTCAGTGGGAGGAATAGTGCCCCGCGATGGGGGTCAGTGGGAGGCATAGTACCCCGCGATGGGGGTCAGTGGGAGGAATAGTACCCCGCGATGGGGGTCAGTGGGAGGAATAGTGCCCCACTATGGGAGTCAGTGTGAGAAGAATAGTGCCTCGCTATGGGGGTCAGGGGAGGAATAGTGCCCCACTATGGGGGTCAGTGGGAGGAATAGTGCCCCACTATAGGGGGTGTCAGTGGGAAGAATAGTGCCCCGCTATGGGGGTCAGTGGAGAAGAATAGTGCCCCGCTATGGGGGTCAGTGGGAGGAATAGTACCCCCCTAGGGGGGTTAGTGTGAGAAGAATAGTGCCCCGCTATGGGGGTCAGTGGGAGGAATAGTGCCCCCCTATGGGGGGTCAGTGTGAGAAGAATAGTGCCCCGCTATGGGGGTCAGTGGGAGGAATAGTGCCCCCTATGGGGGTCAGTGTGAGAAGAATAGTGCCCCGCTATGGGGGTCAGTGTGAGAAGAATAGTGCCCTGCGATGGGGGTCAGTGGGAGGAATAGTGCCCCACTATTGGGTCAGTGGGAGGAATAGTGCCCCACTATGGGGGTCAGTGGGAGAAGAATAGTGCCCCACTATGGGGGTCAGTGTGAGAAGAATAGTGCCCCACTATGGGGGTCAGTGGGAGGAATAGTGCTCCGCTATGGGGGTCAGTGTGAGAAGAATAATGCCCCACTATGGGGGTCAGTGTGAGAAGAATAGTGCCCCAGTATGGGGGTCAGTGGGAGGAATAGTGCCCCACTATGGGGGTCAGTGGGAAGAATAGTGCCCCACTATGGGGGTCAGTGGAAAGGAATAGTGCCCCACTATGGGGGTCAGTGGGAGGAATAGTGCCCCACTATGGGGTCAGTGGAGGAATAGTGCCCCACTATGGGGGTCAGTGGAAGGAATAGTGCCCCATCATTGGTGTTAGTGGGAAAATAGTGCCTGTCCCATCATTGGTGTTATTGGGAGGAATGGTACAGTCATCATTATTGTCAGTGGGAGGAATAGTATCCCATTTTTGGTGACAGTGGGAGGAATAGTGCCTCATCATTGGTGTCAGTGGGAGGAATAGTGCCTCATCCTTAGTGTCATTGGGAGGAATAGTGCCCCATCATTGGTGTTATTGGGAGGAATGTGAGAATTAATAGGAATGCCCCATCTATTTGGTGACAGTGGGAGGAATAGTGCCTCATCATTGGTGTCAGTGGGAGGAATAGTGCCTCATCATTAGTGTCATTGGGAGGAATAGTGCCCATCATTGGTGTTATTGGGAGGAATGGTACCTCATCATTATTGTCAGTGGGAGGAATAGTATCCCATTTTTGGTGACAGTGGGAGGAATAGTGCCTCATCATTGGTGTTATTGGGAGGAATGGTACCTCATCATTATTGTCAGTGGGAGGAATAGTATCCCATTTTTGGTGACAGTGGGAGGAATAGTGCCTCATCATTGGTGTCAGTGGGAGGAATAGTGCCTCATCATTGGTGTCATTGGGAGGAATAGTGCCTCATCATTGGTGTCATTGGGAGGAATAGTGCCTCATCCTTATGTCATTGGGAGGAATAGTGCCTCCCATTTTTGGTGTGACATTGGGAGGAACATGGTACCCCATCATTATTGTCATGGGAGGAATAGTATTCCCATCCTTAGTGTCATTGTGGAGGAATAGTGCCCATCATTGGTGTCAGTGGGAGGAATAGTGCTTCATCTTTGTGTCATTGGGAGGAATAGTGCCTCATCCTTAGTGTCATTGGGAGGAATAGTGCTCCATCTTTGGTGTCACTGAGATTAGGAGAGCCCCCTCAGCACTAGTGTTCAGTGGTCACTTATCTTTGTACAGTATGTGAACCATGCTGCATGCTGTTGCTGTAATGGCCAGATGAGATTCCAGTGGGAATTGTGTAGACGTGGTTGGGCAGGAGCTAACATCAACTAACCATACTGGCTGAAGTACATTACCTGGAGCCGTAGCTCTCTACATTGCAGTGCCTAGCACCTGCTGTCACTGCATGCAGACCTTCAGGATAAGGGCTGGTAAAAAAGAGAACAGTGGGTTGTATGTGTAGCACCCTTCTAGGTAGGTGCTAGGATTAGATAGTTAGGATTAGTTATGCTTTTGATAGGCAAGGTTATTTGTCCCTCTGTAGTAGAGTGGCTGTAAATGTTGTTAGGGAAAATCATAAATAGCTTAGTGTACTGAGTGAGCTGTGATCATTTAGTGAGGTCTGCTCTGTGTGCTCAGGTGCTGCTAGTCTTCCTAGCTTCCTGTTAGGAAGACTGCGGAGGTTTCTGGATGATAGGTGTGGAGTTATGCAGATAACAGCATAATTATTGATACAGTCTCAGTCTATCCCAGAGTGAGGGGATCCAAGGCATGCTGGGTAACTGTATATATTCAGCGAGTACACAGAGCTCTGGGTCTTTCCTGGCTAGGATTGCCCAAGCCTGGGAAAGGGCATGTTGCCATCCCAGGCAGCTTCTGCTGTAGGTCCCAGACGAGTGATCTGAAGGCCTAAATTGCTGAGATCTGGGTTCTGCTATGTTGACTGAGGGGATGTCTCCTGAAGATCTGTTCTGGTATCACAGAGGAAGGCGTCCAGTTGCTCTTTGCTCTTGGGCTTTGTGAGTACAGACATACCTAAAGATCTTAGAGACTGTGTGCTGTTTAACCCCCTCCGGTGCTAGGAAGTCAGCTGTGGGTTTAGCAAAGGGAACACCGGCTGGTGTTTCGAAGAGCTTTGTCCATCTGTCCACTACTACCTAAAGCAGGGGTGTCCAAACTTTTTTCAAAGAGGGCCAGATTGGATGAAGTGAACATGGTGGAGGGCCAAACATTTTTCCGAACATTCTTTGAACCATTACAATTAAATGCAAATAAATTATTTTATGCCAAGTTAATTGCAAACAACATACTTTTCATTTCATAACATTAAGATCAACTGACAGCTGAGTTTTCACAATGTATTGAAAATAAATTTAAAAAAAACTTACCTGCACTAATGTGAAGGGTGAAAAAGGTAGCTGGAGCTGAAGTCTCTGCTCGGCAGCCGGGAGGGGAAGAGAAGAAACACACTTCACGCTGGAAGCCCGGCCCTGACGTCACCGCCCTCTGTCGCTCCCAGCGCAGCGCAGTCACGCATGCGCACTGCTCTCAAGCAGAAGACTGTCTGCCACAGAAGGGAGGGCCGTGCGACAGCCGCATTTACACAGACCAGGGAGAACGCGCCGCAGTCAGGCATGCGCAGTGCCCTCTGCTCTCAAGCAGAAGACTGTCTGCCATAGAAGGGAGGGCCGTGGGAGGGCC